CACACACACACACACACACACACACACACACACACAAACTTCTTCAATGTTAAATGGCATTGTATGTTTTCTGAAAGAAAAAAGTTTACACTTAGCCCTCTAGTGGTTGAAGCATAAATCTACACGTTACTTGCGGAGGAATATTGTTTAGGCATTTACGTGAGTCGTGCTTCGGCTCTGCTATTCTGCGCACATTAATCTCATGGCTAGAAGTGCGCAGCTGTGTCCATGGTTCCAGATAAACTTTATCAGTGCAAATGTCACTAAAGACATCAAAACCTAACCATAACAACATCAAAACATCAAAACCTAACCATAACAACAACGAAAAATGTCATACAGGTAGGTAGTTAGCTCATTATGCCACTGATGTTTTGACTTCAAATCAGTTGATTTAATATAAAATTACAAAGGTTTGGTAACGTTACTCATTAGACACTTAGCTTATCAGGTGGAAATGATAACTTGGCAAGAATATTTATAGACAAACAGACCAAAGTAGTAACTGGTTTATAGGCTAGCATTGTTACCAACATAAACATTGTTTTATGAAACTAGTCAATGCAAATGAGATGAGCAAACTATGTTGATTCAGGTTTTATTACGGGTAACATTACAATTGCTTTTCCTTTTTGCTTTTTGGTTCGAGGTTCAGTTTTGTGGCTTCAATCTACTTCCACTGCATATAGTAACCTGCCCATCTTTCCTTTATTTATGGATATGATGTAAACACGCATCTATGAATGATGAAAGTATGCAGATTCTGTGGAAATATGTCCCGACAGCTCGAAAATATAAATAATTATTATAGGCTTACCATAGGGTAAGGCAAAACACAGTTTGAAAGATGTTTATATGATGTAATTGCTTGTTTAAATTGTGTTAATTTCGAATAAAAAAGTACATAGTTTCTTTTATACTAAATGTCAGTAAAACCTCTTGCTTGGACCTACAGAATTCAGAGCCTGGCTGAGATGAACCAAACAGACAGATAAACACAAAGCAAATGAGTACATGGGATTATCCAAGGCCACTTGCCTCCATTTAGAAGAGGAATGGCATGATCAGGCCGGAGAGAGAGAGAGTATCTGACATGATTAAAGATAAGTTTCCCCCGGCCTGAACGCTCATTGCCCCTTATTTCTCCCACAAGACCTCTGGACTCATCCGTTCCTTCCCTTTGGTGCAGAGAGCCGCTGCTGCGCCAGAGCAATAATTCAAAAACACAGAACCAGAGAGAAGACCCGGAGACTGATTTTGAGTACAAAGATGCTATGGAAAGAGAAGGAAATAGAAAAATGCATGGGAATCAATGGTGAAATGACCAAGGTCATGGGTTCAGTTCAGAGAGAACATCTTGAATGCACTGCAAAAGTGACAACATAAATATGGAAATATAAGTGATCAAAATCAGTAAACTGGATTGTGTGAGAGTCCCTGTGGCCAGAGAAAGCTAATTTCCCCCAGCTTCAAAATCCCTTTCTGCCGTCGGCTGCGGCCTGTTTTCTGAAACATCAGTGCTGTAGAGCAGCCCGTTTAAATGAGCCAGAAATATTTAACAGCAATCAGAGCTCACAGAGCCACCGGCAACCAAAACACTCAACGAAAACATTATCATATATGCAAATGAGTCTCTCTTTCTTGCTCTGTTCTTGTTGTTCTTTACTTGACCTCTTTTATTTTCTTTCTCTGCTGCTTTTTATCCAACTCTCAGTGGGTGAATCTCACGAAAGCTGTTGGGAAAATGTTATGGCCTTAACGATTTGTTGCATTGTGACAATATTTTCATGACAGTTAAGCACATTTAAACCCCACCTCCCCAGCTGTCAGTAGCAGCTCAGGCTCATTGGAAATATGTTGCTCTTGGTACATTTCATATAATAATTGTTTTATTTATATTATTTTTATTTTATTTATACTATTTATTAAAATTTTTGTAGTTGTGATTTATGTATTATTCTATTCCAATTATATGTTAATGCTTGGTATTTTATTTTACTGAAATGACGATAATATTGCAGAATTTTAATTGCGGAATTTGTGGCAAATGGGTCTGTTATCCGTGCTTTATTCTGTGTAGAAAAAAAGGTAAAGAAATTTAAAAACAATGATGTATTGTATTTAGTTTTAGTAAGGATGTATTAGTATTGTATTTTACATTATAATGAATATTGGGAGGAATGCATTTAGTTATCATGAAAATTGTCACAATGCAAAAATATATTGATATATCTATGGTACTCAAAACTTATTTATCTTATATAAATAAAAAAGTAAAAAAAAAAAATATATATATAAATTTCACAAACTACTGTACAGCAACTACAGACTTGAGTTTGAGTTCAAACATGTAAATACATATATATTCTAAATTGCTAATTGCAAACGTCTACCAACGTTTTTTTGGTTCTTTTGGGGTATGAAATTTTCTACAATCTTCTACATTCAACAAATATTCTATATTTGGCTGAGATTCACCCAAATTTTTTTGCTTTTCCAAGATAAGATCTATCAATTCACTCTCTCCTCAGTCCATATTTCTGGATTCACTCTTCCGTCGTTCCTTCCTCTCCATGATCCCTCCGTTCCGTTAATCCCCTGCTGCTTCCTGCCCATCATCTCAGCCAAACCCTAAAAGTACATGTGCCACACACACACACACACACACACACACACACACACACACAGAGATCTGTGACCTGCTGTCTCAGTAAACACTGCTGCAGTCATCTGTTGAACCACAAGATTTTGTTTTCAAAGATAGAAAGAGAAAAACGCAATAGATAATTGACACACAAAAAAATGATAGCAGGTTGTGGAGACAGTGAGAGCAGGAAAACATATGGCAAAGTGGAGGCAGAAACAGAGGGAAATGACAGGAATATTTTTGAACAGTGAGAACAAAACATGGGACAAAGGAGGGAGTAGGTGTCAATGACAGAGAGAAAAAGGGAGGGAGGGGGGGCGAGTCAGCACGCGCCACACACACACACACACACACACACACACACACACACACACACACACACACACACACAGAGATCTGTGACCTGCTGTCTCAGTAAACACTGCTGCAGTCATCTGTTGAACCACAAGATTTTGTTTTCAAAGATAGAAAGAGAAAAACGCAATAGATAATTGACACACAAAAAAATGATAGCAGGTTGTGGAGACAGTGAGAGCAGGAAAACATATGGCAAAGTGGAGGCAGAAACAGAGGGAAATGACAGGAATATTTTTGAACAGTGAGAACAAAACATGGGACAAAGGAGGGAGTAGGTGTCAATGACAGAGAGAAAAAGGGAGGGAGGGGGGGCGAGTCAGCAAACGAGATATGCTCATTCGCTCACGAGACAAACTGAGTGAGAGAGTGAGAGAGAGAGAGGGAGGGAGAGAGAGAGAGAGGGAGCGTGAGCCACTATCATTCGTTCCTGACTCCACACTGGAACACACCATCCCTGGAACACGGAATCTGGCTGGGAACGGAGAAATGGGAATGCACTGGGACGAAAAAACTGAGGAGAATAAATATTACCTGCCATCTGTTGGTCTTCCTCACTCATCTGTCATCCACTGTCACTGTTTCTTTTTCTTTTTCTGAGGAGAACTTCTTCAGAGCCTCCAGTGAAAACACATACATATAGAGATATATCTATAACAATCCTATACATATATCAATATACAGTATGCCTGTTTTCATAAACAGCGTATGGGTAAGCCAATGGATTCAGATTCTACGCTTCAGAAGCATTTCCTCCATTGTAGGAAGCTGATCTGTTGCATTCTGAGACGTGTGCATCTGCACCACGCGTCCACATGGAGAAAGACAGACAGAGAGGGAGCTTAGATAGGTGCTTTGGGAGCTGGATTAGGTGTGCTGTTCTGTCTTTTCGTGTGTGTGCGTGTGTGAGCTTTCTGCGTTATTGTGTGTGAAAAACTGAGGGGCTGTAATTCTGAGACCCTCTTTGTCTCTTTGTGTGTGAGTGTGTGGTAGATGATAGATGATAGAACTGAGAAGTAATGATAGAACTGAGAAGAAGAGGCCCCAAAGAAGCCAGAACCAGAGGAAAATGTGTTGATGTTGCTCAGAGGTTGCTTTTTTATTGCTCAGGAGATATCTCACTTGGGTTTCTTTGAGTAGCAACTTTGTATCAGATGTTTCTCCTGAAATTTCTTTGGAGAAACAAACAGAAGCTAAACTAATATTGTGGATAGCGTAGCTCAGATCATTTAGAATTTGATTAGAATGAGTTTGAGTTCATACTAAAATTGCAGACTTTGGTGTCTTGGTCAAAACAGAGGATAGTTTGAGGCAATGTTGAGATCTCTGTTGAACCTTTCCTCAAGAGAAGCACCCATTTTAACTGGAGACTGTGGTCTAGAAGAAAGAATGGAGATGTTCGAGAGATCTCATTTGTGATTTCCCTTTCCTGTGGGGTCTGCGAGAGAGAAGCAGAAAGCGTGTGTGAACGAGAGAGAATATCTGATCAAAAGTGCCCAATTTGAGAAACAGCTGCATGTTCACACACAGAATAGAGTTCAGCAGATCAGATCAGACCTGTTAGTTTGAGATATTTGAAAAGAAGTGGGCTAAGAGGAGTTATGTTTTGGCTTCCAGTAAAGAGCAATCAAGTGAAAAAAACAAAAACAATCTGCAATGTTGCTCATTCTGATCTAGACCTTAAGATTAGCACATGCATCTTTAAAAGGTCCAACACATTGTATTTATGACAAAACCTTTTATTATTAAAGTGTCCATGTTACATATATTACAATTATGTAAAAATAATGAAATTATTAATAAATGTCATAATCATATTTTATATATTCTATTTTACTGTTATGATTACAATCATGAATCATTATATATAATTTATATTTTATGTATCTATATATTTAGACTTAGAACTACAGTATATATTCCAATTAACATTTATGTATTCAGAACTGTCAGCAAAAATATTTGGGTGACAATGCGTGGAATATATTTTGACCCAAAAATATATAGTTATAGTTTACATTTATATATTCAGACATATTATACTTTTATTACTTATCAATAACTGTCACATGAACATCTTAGCAGAATCTTTAATCATAATCTTTTTTAGATTGAAAATGGGCATTTATGACAGTATGTTTGGTGTTTTGTCACAGGGGACAGAACTGAGCAGAAGGAAGACACCTTGATTGTGAAAACAAAAGCGTCAGGAGGACTAAAGAACAACAGATATTCCTTTGAGAGAACAGAACGGTGTAAAACACTGAGAATGACTTGTGGAATACCTCCGAACTGTAGTGTGAGGCATCTCTTCCTCGCTGGCATCACGCAATGTTCAGTGGGACAAAGATCACGAATAAGGCTTGATTCCAACAGTGTCATTTCTTCAGGCTTCTGAATTGGAATTCTACCAAGTGTTGTTTTTGTTTTGTTTTTCTCGGGCCACGAAACAGTTTGTCTCAGGGTTAGATCCTCGAACCTGGAGTCTCTCCAAAGGGGAGGAATCTTGCTCGCTCTCACTCTCTCCCTGTAGTGATGACAGCGGCGAGCACATTGTGTGCTGAAGTGGCGAGGAAAGCTCTCCATCTTGTTCCCTGATGAGGGCTGCTTTCCCTGTATCAGCTTGCTGTTTAGGAGCCGGACAACAAGTCAGCATTTAACCTGCTCTAAACTTGGAGACAGAACTCTTTGCTCAGCAAACTTGCTTTCTTGGTTCACATTAACTAAACTCCGCTGGTTTAATTGTCTCCAGTGGCGCTGTTGCATTCTGGGATACACATTGTGGGATTACTCAAAGAGGATCATGGCTGCCTCACACCTGTTTTTGAATGTGTTGACTGCCGTTTTACTGTTGAGCTACGTTTCTTACGGTCAACAATCCAACACTGCCAGCACAGGTGAGCAAGCCACAAATCGGACGGCTGCTCCCTCTGGTGCCCCGGAGGTCACACTCGCGACCCCGGGGTCAGACACAGATGAAACCCCGTCAGCCGGGAGCCGCTGTTGGGGTTACTACGATGTAATGGGCCAGTGGGATCCTCCGTTTAACTGTAATGCAGGAATCTACCTGTTCTGCTGTGGCTCCTGCTACTACCGATTTTGCTGCCAGTTCAAGGTTCACAGTTTGGACCAGACGTCTTGTTCCAATTACGACACGCCGGTGTGGGCCAACACAGGCAAGCCGGCGGCTCCGGTGACCGACGTCCAGGAGGAACCGGATCGAGACCGCACTCACATGATCGTGTACATAATATGTGGGGTGGTGGCCATCATGGTGTTGGTTGGGATCTTCACCAAATTGGGCCTGGAAAAAAGTCAAGGAGGACAGACGGACATGACAAACTCCAGGTGAGTGGGTGTGAGGATGACTTCATTGCTTAGAGGTCGCTTGTTAATTAGATTCTCAGAGATGTCTCATTTAAGTATCAACTTTGCATTAGATTTTGCTTCTTATAATTACTGAAGAGACTTAAAAATGAGAATTAATTAAATGTATGGAACTGTAAAGATCAAACCTTTTGATCTGAGTTTTTATTGTAGACTTTTGCATTTTGGCAAATCGGAGCACTGTTTGAGATTTCTTCAGAAACTGTAGAGGAAACACATGTGAGCAGAAAAATCTGCTAAGTAGGAGAGTTAGACTAAAGTCTCTGTTTGTTTGTCTGTAATTGCAGACTAGCTCTGTACAACCAGAGGAGAACCATTTTGAGTTCCACAAATAAATTTTTTCTTAAAAATAAAGTTTTTTATTTTTTTTACATTCATATGGTTCCATGAAGAACCATAAGAGCTGTTTCTTGTTGGCTTGTTGGAGGTTCTGCAGATTATTGAAACGTTCTTGACACTGAGAAAGAAAAAAATGGTTCTTTTAGGAACTATTTACTAAAATGTTCTTTGGGGAATGGTTCTTCTATGGCATTGCTATGAAACCTGTGGAACGTTTATTCTTTAGAAAACTATGTTTAATGTGTATGTTTATGCTTTGAAGAACTCAGAAACCAAAACTCCAATCTGAAGAACCTATAATGTAACATCAAGATCTTTTTTTTAACCTCAAAAAATGATAGGCTAAATCCAGCTCAAGAACCTTATATAGTTTTTTAAGAACCTTATATTATCATTGATGAGACAAAAGATCTTGAATATTAAGGTGTTGCAAAGAACCAACGAAGACTTAAAGTGGGGACCAAACAACTGAGACCACTAGTGAAAAAGCTACTATATGATTACAGATTATATTGTTAGAATAACAAGTAGAAACAATATCTTAGTATTTTGTTTATTCTTTATTGATAGGAGTTCTCGAGCTGCATAAATTCCTCGAGCTCACATGTTCTCCAGCATAATTTAAGACAACCCTGAGAGCATATTTGTGTTCCAGTAGAAGAAAGAACATCTGACCATCTCTACAAAGAGTCACATAATCAGTGTCACAAATTTGCTTATTTGATTAGTAACCTAGAAATAGTGCAGAATCTGAAATAATTTTTCATTTTTTATGGAAACTTTAATTGTTTCACACAAAATCCAAAACTTTTCTAGCTTTTAAACTCCGTTTTCAGTTTTTCAGTGCGGTTTCAGACTTCTGCGCCCTACTGTATTTCTAAGATCATACATTCATGTTGATTTCTCAAAGCTCAGCTTTTGTTTGAGTGGAACTGTACAGTACTAGCTGCGATCAGTTCAAAAGATGAAGCACAATGAAACATTTATATTTTTGCACTCCTCTATTATGTGTTCCGACTATATGACGTTTGTGAAAAAAAAAGAAAAGAAAAGAAAGCTATTTTAATGCACTCAACACCATCATAATGTAAATAAAGTTGACACTTTGGTCTCTCTTCAGCACGGGGAAGCGTAGCGCTGTCCTCCGGGGGCGAGAAGAGTGGGACGTCAGTCCAGCTATCTGTTTCTCATCCGTAATGTGGCATGGCAGACAGACACCACCATGATTTAATGAGGGCTATTGATAAGTGCTGGAAGCATGCCATGCCCGAGATAGAAAGTGTGCGTGTGCGCGAGAGAATGAATGATAGATTATCCGTCGTCTACTGATTTTAGCGGGTGGGTAAAAACAAATCTCTTACGCTTTGTGACGGAATAAAAAAGTCACATGGCAGAGATGCATTTCTAAATGTATTAAAATTTATAAGAGTTTCTTTTGGTAAAGATATGTGTGAGATGAACACAATGACAAAGGCAGTTTTAGAAGGGCAAGCTAGTGAAGTGTATAGCCAGCTTGTTAATTTAACACAATTTATCATAGGAAAGCTTAATGAGGCTCGATAAATGGGTGCCAAAATTAGTGAATAGTGTGTGTCATAATGGTGCAACATATCCAGTGTCTGTTGGGACGAAATACAGAGGCACATTGAGGAGAGAAAGAGAGAGATTCTATTGACCAGCTCTGAGAAATCCAATGAGGCCAACGTGACTGGATTCATCCAACACAAACATGGGCCAGTGTAGAGACCAACGTGCTCGCACACACGTACACAAAACTCATCCTATGCCACTGACTGTATAAAATTGCAGGGTCAGAACAGTGACTAATGACTGGTGAAATGTCTAGAAACCGAAATGACGTGCTTTATTTGAGTGTGTGAATGCATGTGCGTGCTGAGCAAACCGACCGTGTCGGCTTGAGACGTTCAGGTTTTATGTTTTTATGCATAATCTGACCTTTAATAATTACCTTTGGTGTATTTGAAGGGCGTATCGCATTTCAGTGCATTTGCAAACTGTGTGTTCGCTGGTGTGGGTTTGTTTTTCATGTGTAAAATCAATTCAGTTCAGCATGAAATTATGCTTTTTTGCCACTACTCGAGTGATGGTTGGACTGTGCGAACACTCTGCTTTCTACTTGCATTATTTTTATGTGCGTGCTTGACAAGTCTCTTGGTCAGACATGCCAAGTTTTACTAAGACAAAGTTAGTAAACGGAGAGCCAGAGAGTCTTTGAGAGAGCATTTGTGTGCTTACGAAGTAAACATCGTACATCTGTGCTGAGTGCCTTTATTACATGATCATCCAGTCAATAATGGAAGTGGCTCTGTAATGTTTTTTTAATGTCTAAAATGTGTGAGCATGCAAATAAAGCTTCACATTGAGAGGCTGGCAGAAACTCGTAACTCGTAAAGTTTTCAATGAGTGTGTCCTCAGTAAACACCAAGATGCCTGCTTTCTAATACATGCGCCATGTTGCCAGGAGTTAGCAATAATAGCAAATATTTGTCAATTTGAAAAAATAGTTACCAGTAGGCTATGTTGCAATGCTTTCGAAGATGAACTTCACCTTCAGCCTCCATGTCCTGGTCAAAATCTCTGTTTCCACCAGGTCTTGTTCTTCCAAGGTTTGTCTGGTTAACATGGTCCAGTTAACCCCTGGTGGTTGATGTCATAATTACACCATCTGGTTCTGAAGTCTTCTTCAATTCAAAAGTAGCTGTGCATTCTAAAAAAAAAAAAAAAAAATCACAGATAATTCATTATATTATCGTATATGTTTTTTCATTGGCCAGTTTTTGGAGGGCTCATAAAGCCTACTGTATCATTTGATACACACATTTCTAAGGCCTCTAAATTATAAACATGATTAAAAAATGCTGAAAAAACTATTGCGCACAGTTTACTACATGCCTTCAGTCATTGACTTCTTTGTAACTTCTTTGGCAAGTAAAAAGCTTATTAGTACAATTCTAAAAACGACGACGCCATGGTTCCCGTGTCTATTTGAAATCTTTACTGGTTTTTATAATGTAAACATAAAAATAACTGTAATTTTTTACACTTTTCAAGATGAACATTTACTGGACTGAAGCAACTTAGGTTTACATGATTATCCATACATCATTTTGATACAAATCATTAACATGTGAATTTCAAATTTGAAACATTAGGCTTTTGAGGAATGCTGAACACAAAAGAAGATGTTTTGAAGAATTTTGAAGAACCAAACATTTGCCTATTTGATTACCAGCATTCTTCAAAATATCTTCTTTTATGTTCAACATACAAAAGAAACTCATACAGGTTTGGAATGACATGAGGGTGAGTAATTGATGACAAATTTTCATTTTTGGGTGAACTATCCGTTTAAATATCATCTTAGTAAGACATATTATTGGGAGATATAGAGCAACAACTTAAGTTTAAATGCATTTTATGTAAGTAGTCTGCTTTAAATATAATTGATTACAAGCTATCAGAATTTCATCTTATTTTTTGGACCATATAAGTATTATCAGCTGCATCAAATTGCATATTTTTGCTTAGTTCAGGCCTCCAAGCTTTTTCATTCTTGAGTATGACCTTCATATTTTCCTTTATGAGCCATAAAAGCCTGATGTATCAAATATGATACTTAACAAAAAACACACATGCAAAATCAACTGTTCCATCTCAAAATTATGTATAGGGTTTAATAGGGTTTATAGGGATAAGAGCCCTCCAAAATTAACAAATAGATCTCTCATGTATGTGTGCATTTGAGGAGCTTGTGGTTCATTTTACGGGTAAACCTCACCACAGATTTCTCTTTCTCTGATTTCATAGAGTTTGTTTGCTAGTCTATATTCAGCTTTACTGGCCAGCAGACAGGGCCCACAGAATACAGTGGTGCCCATTAAAAATGCATTACGACTTCTGATAGAGCTGATTCCCAAAGCTGGCCCTCGGACTATTAATGCGCTAGACAAACAAACTGAGCTCCACAGTGAGTCCACCAAGGCAAGCAGAAACCAGCGGGAGACGTCTCACAGGTCCTTCTATACAAACCTCATGAATACACTGAAACCTGCTGCACTTCACTTAGCCACAGGTCAAAGACTCCCGGGTGTTTTTCACAGCTTTTCAAAAGGAAAGAAAGGGCAGAAATCATGAGAACTGATGCAGAATGACTCTTGACACATTTGGCAGTGTAATGAGAAAGAAATTAATCTTGAAGTGCAAAAAAACACAAAAAGTGGGCTCAGAAAAAAATAAATAAATTTAATCTATAAAATTGTTACATATTTGGTTCCTCACAAAAGCTTAAATTAATGTTAAAATGAATGTTAAAATGAATGGAATATGTATATAAATAAAATTCTGAAGCCTTGATTCCTCCATTATCTGTAATGCTAAACATATTTCCACCTCCTGAGGAGTTTGCTAATTACTCTGCCCATTCGTAAATTTCCATCAACAACAAATCATGCATATGCTAATACATCTCTTTACCTTTTTATGAATTTTCTAGTAAACACAGTTGTGTTGTTTTAGTCCTACAATAAACCTTCTTGGCCTCCATAATGTGCTAATGCATGTTGCTAACTAGTATCCCATTAGCTTGTGTTAATTGTTGGTGT